CCTGGGACTGAACCTCTCTAAAGATCTGATACCTCCTTGCCTCGTCTCCATGTCTTTGACAATAACAGCTTCTGTGATAGGATGTCGTAGACCATTCTATTCAAGGCAACGGCCCTGCCTGGCTTCACCAATATTTCCTGCTCTCCACCCCGAAAGCGTGCTCTTTTTCCAGAATCTCTTACACGAGACACCCTACACATTCATTCTTTTAGTGTCAATGTCCTCCCAGTGGCAGTGAGGGCAGGGGTCCATCACTGTCACTTATCACTGCAACCTCAGCCCCAGCACAGGATCAGACCCCAGGGAGGGACTCAGTAACTACCAGATGGATGGACACAGTGATAGGCTAAGTAATGGCTGTCCAGTTTCAGATGAGGATGGCACGGATGCTTCCCCATCCATTGTTGTCTTTCCTGAGCAGAAACAGGGCAGAGTCCAGTAAGCAAGGACTGAAGAGAAGGAAAGTAGAAATGTTCAGTGAAGCTCCTCCCAGGTGGTTGCCCAGCCCTTAAATATTTCTAAAATATACTAACTTAAAGCAATTGTGGACTCCTCTTTAGGATCTGTTAGCATCTGTCATAAATACGAGCCGAGTCACTGTTTGTTGAGGCACAACCTGCGTCCAGGAGATGAGGCAGATGAGGACGTTGTTAGTATTTATTTTAAAATGATGCCACATACACAACAGGTACATGAAAGAGATTTACTGGGTGGAGGTGGAGAGATAGAGAGGAAAAGGAAAGAGAGAGACACGGAAGGGGACCCTCAGGAAAGTGAGGAGAGTAAGACAGAAGAATAAGGAGAGTAAGAGAGCGACAAAGTGGCGCGTTGGTCCTTTTATAGCCTGCACATTTGCGGTTGAACCATGCCTTCCACACACCCGGTAGGTGACACATGATGACATCACAGGTTACTAGGCAACCCAGAAGTAGGCTGCCTATATGCTAACAGACAGGCTTGAGGACAGTGACTTAATGGAGTTGTGATTCACAGGATGAGGACTGAGAGAGGGGCTCAGCAATAGGGGTCTCTACCATGGCACAGTAGCAGAACCCGGGCTAGGACTGAGGCTGAGGTGGAGCCTTGGGTCCTAATGGGAAGAGCTAGTACATGGTTTGAAAATTTTCCCACTGTGATTACACTGGACCCCACTTCTCCCTCTGGAGGAAACGAAACACAGCACACTCTCTTACCTCTTTACGGCTTGCTGAGAGATGCCAGAACTTGCTCACCCTATCTTTGGTGTCAGCGTTTGGGTATTTCCAATTGCTTGCCTTAAGAATAACAGTGACCCCCCCACCAATGTGCGGCCACTGGAGGGGATTCTCTCTCACCGTGTGCTAATTCATCACATGGACGGCCGTGTATGAAGGACGAGGCTCTGTGCTCCAGCACATCTCCCTGATGTCCATGAATGAGGAGCCCCCATGTTCTGTGTCCTAGTATGTTACCAAAGCCCATGCATCAGGGGCCTCTGTACCCCAGCACATCACTGGCTATCCATGCATGAGGGGCCCAGAACCTGCAGATGCCTCTATAGTGGTCAAAGATCAAAACAACCAAATAGTATCTTTGGCTGCATATTTGTGTGTGTGTGTGTGTGTGTGTGTGTGTGTGTGTGTGTGTGTGTGTGTTGAAGCCAGGGGTCAAACACAGATGTTGTTCTTCAGGGGCTGGCCACTTTGTGTGTGTGTGTGTGTGTGTGTGTGTGTGTAATATTCCCTACCCTTGCACTCAGAGTGGCTCACTACCTGGGGCTCACTGAGCAGGCTAGGCTGGCCAGCAAGCCTCAAGGATCCAGCCGTTTTGACCTCACTGGTACTGGGATTACAATTAAGCCTCATAATACCCTAGGCTTTTCTGGTACACACATATACATATTTTAATTCTGCTTTGAGTTCCCTGGTTATATTTTCTAGTCAACACAAGTAACCTAATGGGTTCTTTCCTCGGACAGAAATGTCACCAACAACTCTGTGTCCTCTAATTGGAGCTGTGAGACCCTCAGCCAAACAACAGTGTGTGACAAAAGCCATTCACTAGCCGTCCCAGGACTGTGGCCCTCCACTCTGTGACCTCAGTGAGGACCATACAGGATTCAGAGACTTCCATTCAGTGTGCTTCTGCATTATCTTTTCTTTAACTGGAGCAAGTGCTTAATTGGAATAATAAAGGCTATGATGATGTCACTGTCTTGTTGGGAGGATGAGTTAAGTGAATCATTAAAGCCTTGATAAGGGTTTCACATACGCTAGCAGAGAGGAGAAAGTGGTTATGGGCCATTTGAGATAATGTGCTAACTAGCAGCTAAAGCCCCAAGAACAAGCCACCAATTGCTTGTGGAATCCCAGGAACCTGCTGGAAAAGATAGCACCGTCTTGCCAAAGGACTGTCAAGAAGGGGAGGCAGGGTTTGCTCTCTGGAATTTTCAGAGGTATGCTAAACCACAGCAGCTGTCAAAGAACAGGCACACAATTGTGGCCACAAAATAAATGACACTTGTTAAGGTTCTCCAAAAAGACACAATGTTTTTGCTGAGCTATGACACAGAAAAAAAAAAAAGGCGCATGCACACAAAGATTAACATAGAAGGCTGTTAACAGTGCCCAGATTTTAACATAGCCAGGAGTAGTCCATGTGCTTACAGAAGGCTGAACAGCTGAAGTGTGTAAGAGCAAAGAAAGGGAATTTTTTTCTCTCCTTTGTAAGACACAAACAGGAATCACTACATAATCCACCCAGTTTTCCTGTAAGGGTCTGGGGACTGAAGGGAGAGGTGGAGGAAATTCTGGTGAACAGAAATTTCTCATTCTGTATTTCCAGAGTTTGAAATGCTCACAGTGATAATTTCATTTTTTTATAAGCACCTCGTGGGCACCAAGCCACTTTCCCTTCGCTGTTCTGGCTCCTGCTTAACTACTAACAGGCAGCTTTCTCCTGGCCTCCTTCTCCTCCTTCCTTCCTTTCCCTGTTTCTGGGCACACAAACCTCACATCACATCCTTTCAGCAAACTCCAGTTTTTCTTTAGTATCTTTGGGCACTTCACCAGAGCTATGATTTAGGTCTAAACAAATCATCTGTTTGTGCCCTCCTTCTTGGGCATTAATAATCAAAAGTTCTGAGGGGCTGGGGCAGAGCTCAGTGACAGAGCATAGAACTTGGGCAAGACTGTGGATTCAATTCCCAGCACCATTGAAAGAAAAAACAAACAAACAAACAAACAAACAAACAACAATTACGGTTAAGGGTAAGAAAAAAAAATCCAAAACAGATCTCAGAATCAAAAATTTAATTTTATGTCTTTTGCCTGCACAGGTGTCTATGCACCACAGGTGTGCCTGGTGTCTACGGAGACCAGAAGAGGCTATCAAATCCCATGGGATAGTTTGAAGCCATCATTTGGGTTCTAGGACTCAAACTCTGGTCCTCTGGAAGTACTCTTTAACCCCTGAAGCATCTCTCCGGCCCCCAGAACCCAAACCTGAAAAGAGAAACCCCAACAAGAACAAGACTCCCCTCCCTCCCCTGGACTGTGAACATGCCATGTTCAGGAAAAGGCTCAGCAACCCTCAATAGTTAATTGACAGGGGGGGGAAAAAAATCACAATTTAAAATAAGGGTAAGATACAGTATTTTCGCGCTGCTGAATTTCATGGAGCAGATGAAGCAAGGAAACAACAGAACTTGTAAAATTTCACCATAACTTACTTTGCCTGAACAATACAGGAAGGAGGAGGAAAGGGAGGGAGGGAGAGAAGGGGTTGGGGAGGAGAAGGAGGAGTAAGAAGAGGAAAAGAAATGAGGAGAGAAAAGGGGAGGAGGAAGGAGGGGGTAGAGGAAGGGTATGGAGTGGGGTTTCCAACATCACATTATGAAACGAGACTTCATCATTAAAATCTCACAGGATTTTAGCCTACTCTTGAGTTGACTTGGTTTAAAACGGTTTTGCTTATTTATGCGAGGTGCGCATGCTTGCGCGCGCAGGTGCGCGCGCATGCGGAGGACAGCGGATAAATGTTGGAATTTTCTTTTTTTCACTGGTGGGGTCCCAGGGGTCAAATTCAGACTGTCCTTCTTGGCAGTTAGCGCCTTTCCTGGTGGAGGCATCCGAATCAGCTTTACGAAAGTAAGCGTGATTTATGAGTAATCCACCAGCAATACAAAGTTGTAGAGTTGCCCATCAGCTTTCAGGGCTGCCCCAGAAAAGAGTGGGGGCTCCAGTGGTCATGTTTTATATCTTAAGTTATGGAGAGGGCAAGGGGGTTAATCTTTAAACATTCCACTTCTCTTCCATCGGTAATAATTAATGCTAAAATACTTGCCAGACGGGCCAGCTCTGAGAAACCCCTGATTTAGTTAAATGCTTTGGTCTCGGGAGCTTGTTAAGGGGCTTTCCCCAAACAGAGCCCACAGAACAGAAGGCTGTGACCTTTATCCTTGTCCGTCTCCGCATGGAGCAATTCAGATCTCCGAGCTGCTGGGATAATTCTTCCTCTGGGCATTTGCTTTGCATTGTATCTTCAATTTCAATTAAGACAAGCAGTTGTATAAAACTCAACTGTTTCCCCATCTCTAGCACACATTCTCTCAGCTAAAGTATTAAACAGTAGATATCTGCCAGATTTTAGAGTTGAAGAATCTTAACAGCTTATTGAATAAAACAAACAAACAAACAAACATGAAACAAACAAACCCCTCCAGGCTTAAACATTTAAATACACCTCTCCGCTTTTTAGCCTTACATTTAATCTAAGAGTCTTTGAGGAATAAAGCAAGATGTCTCTCTCCTTTATCTTCAAAGGCAACAACTCTGTATCATATTTGTGGTAACCTAGACCAAGACAGTAGACAATCTCATATGAGAATGGTCTCAAAGGGTCTTCTCTCTTTTTATTCATTATCTCTGATGTCTAGAAATCTTGAAACAAACAAACAAACAAACAAACAAATATAAAACAAACCAAAAAGGGAGGTGAATGCTGGATGCACTCAAGCATACCTGACAGCAAAGTGCAGAATAGCTGGGCCGGGCTTCTTAGGCAAATCGTGCTCCAGAACCCTGTGGTCTAGCTGCAGCCAGTTCTCTTGACCCCTGTGAGAACAAAGCAAAGGCAGAAGATGACGTGGAAAGTCCAGCAACACACAGTGCCGGCGAAGCTGCCTGGAAATTGTCATACCCGCACACCAGGCAGAGATACAACAGGCTGTGAGGCCACTTCAGCAATTTCTTTCAAACCTATTGAACCTGTCTGCTCCTGAGCTAGCATTTCCAACTGGAGAAGCTTGTCAGGAGGAGCTTGGATATTTATAAAATCGCCCACGTTGATAGCCAAAAGTCTGGAAAGAACTCAAATATTTATAGGGTATTTATAGGGTATATATTTAACAATCTAAATCTAAACGGAGAAATACAGTGCATTCACAAAACAAGCTGGAGTGACTGAAAAATTGCCTGGAACAAATTTTTAGATATAAATCTTAAATTAAAAAAGAAAGAAAGAAAAAGCAAGATTCCCTGGGCACGGTGATGCATGCCTTTAATCCTAGCACTGGGGGCAGAAGCAGGCGGAGCTCTGTGAGTTTGAGGCCAGCTTTACCTACACAGTGAGTCTGAGCCAGCTAGGACTACTCAGTGAGGCTTCATCTTAACTAACGCAAGCAAACATACACTTTCAAGTTTAATAAGAAGCGTAACAGTCAGTACAGTATATTACCCATAATCCCTTCTGTGTATGGAAACAGAGTGTTGCCATAGCCCAGGTTTGCTCTACCATGCCCAGCTTGCCCATTTTTTAACCAATGGAAACCCATCTATATTGCACGCACATTTTTTTTTTTTTTAAATAAACTGAGAGCATGAAAAAGATGTGGATAATGCCTTGGGATTTTAAGACACTGCAGAACACTAAATTAATCTTTACATTCATCTGAAAGGTTAAGTGATGAGGAAGAAAAACTGGAGAGATGGCTCAGAGGTTAAGAGCACTGGCTGTTCTTCAGAAAGTCCTGAGTTCAATTCCCAGCAACCACATGGTGGCTCATAACCATCTATGATAACATCCGGTGCCCTCTTCTGGCATGCAAGTACACACGCAGGCGGCTTACTGTATAAATAGTAAATAAATAACATTCTAAAAACAAAAAAGAAGAAAAAGAAAGACTCCAGTTTAAGGAAACAAAGGGGACTCAAGGGAAGCACTGCCATTTCCAATGTACGCACAGGTCGGAACTCTTCTGGAGCTATGTCTGTGGACGCACGACTCACAGACGGTTAAATATTTATTTACTTCTGAGCCTCACCAGTTCACAGGTATAAACAGTTCTCTCCAGACCTTGACCTCTATGGCTTGAGGCTCCATGGACTGTTTACATGATTTCCAAGGCAGTTCAACTGGCCCTCCATCTGAGAGCCTGTCTGAATCTGCTTATGCAAAATCCAGCTTCAGAATACGCTTCTGGTGGTGAGAAGGGGATGTAGAATTCCAACGAACTCTGTCATGAGCCAGAAAACAGTTTCCAGCCTATTTTGGTCCTTGGATAAATAATTGAAAGACAAACTCAGGAAATTCCACTCTCCTGTCAACGTAAGGAGATAGAAAAGGGGGCTGGAGAGATGGCTTGGCAGAAACGAACATCGGCTGCTCTTGTAGAGGAGCCGGGGTTCAGTTCTCAGCACCCACATGGCAGCTTACAACCATTCATAAGGAACCCCAGTTCTGGGGGTTCCAATGCCTTCCTCTGTCCTCCACGGGCACTCTCTGCACCTGGTGAACGTGTATACGTGCAGGCAAGGCACGTGTACACAGAATAGTTTTTAAAAAATTAGAAACAAAGCACATAGGAAAAGTGGGCACAAATAGTAAGAGTATAAATGGTAACAGCCACTCTTTATTTATTTGTCAACGTTAGGTTTCAGGCAATCCATGTGTCTAGAAATGTGCTCAGGCTGGACTATAGGATTTCTGCTGGTTGGGTCAGATGAAAGCCAGCATCACTTGGGAATTTGTGAAAGGAGTCCCGAATCCCTACCTCCCAAGAGTCATTTCTCTGGCTTCTGGCAGAAGAGACATGGGTCTCTATTGCTGTACCATGGTCACACATCAAAGCCCGTGCTGGCCTCCAAGTCCCTCAGTCCCCATTCACAAGTACTTGTATACATTTCAAAGTCCACACTAGCCTCCCGGCTCTCCCCTCCCCGACTAACAGCTACTTCTCTTATGATTCACATGATTTGTCTGCTCCCCCAACCTCTGCCACTCTCTAGCTTCTCTCATGGAGAACCCTGGCCATGTCCAGTCTTTTTCTTTCTGCTCTGAACTCTTCCTGGTGCCTCTGGATATTTCCTCTCTCTTATTCATGATAAACCCTTCCCCCAACCATACTATGGAAGAGATATTTCAATGGTTCATTTACTGTGCACCCTCACATATGTCAGCCAAGCTGGAAATCTTTGTCTATTAATATTACATTTTATACTAAATATGCAAGGAAAATGGCAGGGATGGGATTTGAACCCAGGGCTCTCAATATGGGGTAAATGATACCAGTGGATTTCCTACTTTTTGTAATAACACTGGGCTCAGTTTCTGTGTATTTGTTTCTATAATTATAAGATGAAGCTGCTGAGAACTTCCCCAAGATTTCCTTGGTGGAGCATTGAGAGACGTTCTTAGAATTAGTGATTTTGTGTGTAAGGAAAAAAAAAAAACATAGAAGGCTGAAACTAAAGGATTCCTGCATTATATTTTGTCATGTTTAATGTGATTCTTATTTAAAGACACTTCAACTTCAAAGCTGTTAAATATAAGTGTTAAAATACATGGCACATCAGTTTTAAGTCTTTCAAGGTTTCATATGGCAGATTAGACAACTTTGAATTTTTCCCCCTTCTTCCTTTCCTCTTTCTGCAGCCCCCTCTTCCTCTCCCTTTGCTCCTCTTCCTCATTCTTTTCTTCGGGAAATATTTGGAAGAGGATCTCACTGTGCAGCCGGGTTGGCCTTCACTTCAATCCTCCTGTCTCATCCATCCTCAGTGTGTGGGTATGTCCTCTCTCCTTTCCATACAGAGAAGACATGACATGACTTAAAATGTGTACCGGGTTTCGTACAAGCTTGCATACAACACTGTGTGGGAATGAACGAAGCAAGCGACTCGTCACATATGCAGCACATTGCAATGAGGTTCAACCCGGAGGCACGGTCAGGACACTCTTAAACATGGAGAAAACCTTCAATGTGGAATCCTGCACAGATACAGTTGTGGCTATCGGTTACCTCTTTGGAAGAAACCACAGTCAGAGTGGGGAGGTAACAAAAGAGGCAGCCGTAACCACGGTAAAGACTCTACGGATATTCGTGTGAATGCAGCAGAAACACACTTTTCAAGCCTGAAGGTATATGTTAAAGATTTACATTCTTTCCTTCTGTTGGGAGTCAAATCTGTGTGCGTGCTAGGCAAGAGCGCTAACCTGAGCCCAGTCTCTTGCCTAGAACCCAGATTTCTACTGTTTATAATGGATACCGGCCTCCCTGTGTTACAAAGTCTGACCTTAGACTCTACATGTAGTTCAGGCCAGCCTCAATCTCATGATCCTCCTGCCTCAGCTTCTGAAGGGCTGAGATTATAGGCATGTACCACTAATACCTAAATTAGATTTTTTTTTATTTTTGGTTTTTAAAGTGTATTTATAGTCCTTTCAACAGAACGCAAGTTCTGAGGAATAAAAAAGAAAACTACCTACATCTGAATACTAAGATATAATACGGCCCATTTTAACTTGTTCTTTAAGTATGGAATCTAATTAACTTAAAAAAAAACAAAAAAACAACAACAAAAAACCTAAAACCAACCAACCAATCAACCAAACAAATGACAAGCACCGGTAACCACAAAGCTATGCTTTCCCTCTGGTCTAGATTCTGTACAGTGGAGGCCTCACTGCCTCAGTCCACTAAAAAGGACAGGGATCCAAAGCTATCCTTGTGTTGTAACACCTATTTGTTATTTCTTCATCAACGAAGGTCGCACAGCAGTTTTTCAAAATGGACGTAGGGATGGTGGAAGGAAGGGCCCTTTGTGGGGAAGGAGAGCGGATACTGCCCTCTAGGGGTTGAAGGTCACCCTGCACACAAAGCCGGGATGCCTCAGCAAGCGCAGAGGCAGGAACTTGGATGGGACAGCTATCTTCCTTATGTAACTGTGGTCTATCTCCCCCTTTGTCTCCTGGCTACCTGAGCTGGGGGAAAAGATAGTAGCCTTCACTGACGCTGTCCCTTTCAGCTTTGCCTCTTTCTGTCCAGTTTACCATGGTCTCAAGGCTGACGTGGCACTGGGGATGGAAAAATGCAACTCAGCCAGTGCCCTGGGAGGGATCCGACTTGGTGGTTTCATGGGGGTGGACAGAAAGGGAGGGCTGAGAGGGGGAAAAAAAAACCTTCCAAAAATATTTACCAGACAAAGAACTAGGCTTGTGACCAAGACTTTCCGAGGAGACACCCTTGGACACAAACATATTTCCAAGCCTGCTCCCCGGAAAGGTGGAAATGGCCAAGACCTACCTTCTCCCAGAAAAGACCAACTCATACTTCTGAAAATAAACACAGGCACAGCCGGGAGACACCTTCTCTAGCTGGTTGCAATTCCGGCATGGGGTGTTGTCTGTTATGTGTAGGGAAGTCGGGGCGTACAAGGGTCTCGGGAAGACTGTTAAGGTTTGTCTTCTGTGGTCCAAGATTGTAGCAGAAGGGAGCCCACAAATCCGAGAGTAGACAAGGAAGATGGGGCCCAAGTCCTCAAAGGAAATCATTCATACTCTCTCACCTGTTTTTGTTTTGTTTTGTTTTTGTTTTTTGTTTTTGGTGTGTGTGTGTGTGTGTGTGTGTGTGTGTGTGTGAATGTGTTTGCAGTGTACATGTTTGTGGTATATTCACGCGTGTGTATGCAGAGGCCAGAGGAGAACAGTGGGTATCTTGAGTTATAGCTGTCTACCTTACTTCCTGTGGCAGGGTTTGTTACTGAATCTGAAGTTCGGCTGGCAATCAGCCAGCCCCAGCAATCCTCTTTCCTCTTCCTCATGTAGTGCTATACACATGTGGCCAGGCCGGTTTTTTTCACGTGGGTCCTGGGGATTAGAACTCTGGTCCTCAGGATTGTGCAGCAAGCCCCCTTACCCAGTGAGCCCTCGTCCCAGCCCCTTTTTTTCTTGATAGAGTTTCATATATGGCCCCGGCTGGCCTAGAGTTTGTGGTACACGTCTTTCCCTTCCAGTGCAAGGATGATAGGCATTGGGCATCATGCCCAGATCTTTTTGTTTTCTTTGTGAAGCAAGTTAGGGCGTCAGGATGAAGCACTGCACATAGGGGTTCTGCCCTCCACACGGTCTGGTCCCTTTCTTCCAGCGCAGGCGCTGTTGCTGTAAATCCCGCTCCCCCTCCGCGGACCGTCCCTTCAGTGGTCGCGGGTGCAGAGCCATCTGTGTGCCTCTCGGGGTTCATCTGCGATCTTGTCCTTTGCTCACCCCTTAATCCACGGTCAGATGGTGTCTTCACACCCGGCGAGAGCACAGTGTTACGCTTTTGCTTCATGTGACGCTTGCCGGCACTGCCGCCTCCTTCCTCCTCTGTGGACACTCTGCGAGTCTGGCTGGGTTCGGTGAGCTCACTCCGGTGCCGTGCAAAGCTTCTCTCTGTCATGTGTGCCTGTGCCCTGCACTCGGCATTCTTGCTTAAAGTGCCGGCAGGGCAGAATGCCAGCACTCTCTCTTGGGTCCCCCGTGTGGCATCTGCCACGGAAGAACTATTGTTCTGTGCTTCTTGGTGTTTGATGTGTACTGTCCTCCGGACATCACTGTGGCCCACTCTGTCTAACACCGCCCCACCCCCACCTTTCCTTTACATGATCTCTCATCTGATCTCAGTGCCCACTTAGAGTTTCTGGTATTTTCTCATCATCTCTCTGTCAGGTGCCCAGAATCTAGAATACCATCTGGTACCTTGTGACCACTCAGGAAACGTTGGTTAAACAAATATATTATTCTCGTCTTCAGGCCTTTAGCTTCAACTTAATACGGTCTCCTTCTAAATGATAGCGCTCATGGCAATTACGGTTCATAGCCTATCATTCACTTATTAATGTATTTATGGCCATAGGTCTTATACGCTTTCATTCACACACACACATTTTTGCCTGCATGTGTGTGGCAGTTTTATCACCAATTCATGTGAGCTGCTTGTGGCTTTCTGGCTAGTACCTGTGGAAAATGGACACACGTATTTCCCTATTTTTTCCAGCAGAGGGCAGACGATCAAGTGCCTGTCTTCCGCTATTGCATGAACATATTTGGGTGACTCAGAGTAAAAGGGGTGATGCCCACTGCATTTCCCTGCCAGCTTTGTGTGAATCACCTTCAGTAAACATTCTGAGTCTGCTCTAAGTTTTTTTGGGTTTTGTACCTCTCTAAACATCTGGGTTTTAGCAGCTTGAGGTGACTGCTTTGTTTAGATTTCCTTGGAGACCATGGGCTAAAAATCATTACAGGAACAAGGTGTTAAAAACAAATTAACTCCTTCTTGATGTGATTTTCCACCTGGTTTCCCTGGACAACTGAAAAACCGCTTAAACAGAGAGCTGTGGAAAGAACGTGGTGGTTGGCCAGCGCATTTTATTTATGTCTGGAACACATTTTCTTGGATGTTAGTATTTAAGAAACTCTTTGAAAAATATCTTCAGAAAAGGGAAGATTCCTCTCATAACATATCAGACCACATATAATATAGATGAAATAGCTTTATATAAAACACACCGACAGGGACACACACATACTTTCCAACATGTTAACATAAAGTATAGAAATAAATGAAAAAACAACAACAACAACAACAAACAAAAAACTACCAGGGCAACATGAAAGAAACTTAGATTATAGGTAAAAATTAATTCCACATTTAGCTGTGTGTGTGTATGTATGTCTGTGTGTGTGTGTATATATATATATATATATATATATATATTTTAAGGATAGTCACAAATTGGGCTTTAAACTTTCTAACCATCAGCACCGAAACATTGTTTTATGATACACATGAGCAACAACTTAGTGTTTCCATCACTGATAGATGAAGGGAATTGAGGAGTGTTACCACACATTCAAAAAGACAAATAACATAAACTACACATTTGGAGTGGTTTGTTGCTCTTGCTTTCTCTTTCACGATCCTGGTTCCCAGTCCTGGCTTGCCTGGAGATTATTATGCAGACCAGGTGGCCTAGAACTTAGAACTCGCACCCATCATCTTGGCTCTGCTTCCTAAGTGACGAGCTAAGCAGCATTTGCTACCATACCTGGTGGTATTTGCAAGACTTTTAAATGCTCCGTATTCCTTTTTGTTCCTTTACAACATTTGTAGGAATTTTTTCATACCAAGAAATGTATATCTAAACTGGATACAAATATTTTTCTCCTTTGTTGCCAACAAAGAGAATCAGCGAGTACGTAGTTCAGGCAAAAGGCAAGGACGTGAAAACCCAGAACACTCACGTGTCATCTATAAACGTTATTCCAAAGTATTCCTTCTCTTTCAGGTTGAAATGTGAGGCCACAAGGTCCAGCAGCTCTCTTGATAAAAGCTTGGGCTGTCAAAACAGAAATCTGATTAGTGCCGATTTACTTGCTCACCTCTCCCGTTGCTATCACCTTATTCCACTCTAAACCATGGAAAGCAGCTTTTGCTTGCTTGTGTGATTTTTAAATACCATTCTTCATGCCATTGTCACTACTACCTTCTGAACATCCAGGTACAGAACGAATAATCTATGACCTGTGGGGATACTATGGGCCTGACGGGAAGTGTGGTTTGGAATTGGACAGAATGTCCAACTGATGACTGCTGTTGGCCTTGCAGGGACAACAAATGGTTGGCAGCCGAAATGGCTCCCTTCTGAACCCTGAGCCTAACAGTCAGGGCTATATGGTGATGGTCTGAAGGCTGGGTGCTTGCAGTTGGAGGAGATGAAATGGGGAGAGAGAGACAAGGAAAGGAATCCAGGAAGAAAAGGAGGAGAAAGACAACAAGACAAAAGGGTTAGGGAAGGAGAGAGAGCAGGGGGAGGAGAGAAGCAGGCAGAAATCTGGATTAAAAGTTAGTGAAACTACCGTACTATTCCTCTAATTCATTTTAAAGACTTATTCATTTCATTTTATGTGTCAGTGTTTTTTTTTTTTTTTTTTTTTTTTTTTTCTTCATGTATGTTTGTATACTGTGTGCATGCCTGGTGCCTGTGTAGCTCAGAACTGGAGGTATGGATGGCTGTGAGCCATCATGTGGGTGCTGGGACTCGAACCTGGATCTTATGCAAGAGCAGCAAGCACTGTGAGCCACTGAGCTGTCTCTCCAGCTCCTGCCCTATTTGTTTTAATTGCAGTGTGGGTGCAGTGGCTGAGGGACAAGTCTCAATGAGAAAGTAAAGTAGGTTTGGTCTGGAAAAGGTGTCTAGGCTAGCCGTAGGTGTAGCCTATCCATAGAACTCCAACTATTAAAGAAAAAAAAGAAAGACTTTGGGTCCAGGGTGTTGTGCAAATAGGAAGAAAATCACCAGCAAGTGAAATAGAAAGAAATCCATGCAGTGTTAAGTGTTTTACAAAGAGCTTCCACTCACATATTTTAAGTAGCTCGACTCAACCAGGATTCTGTCAGGAAGACTAAGCCACAATAACGCATGTACAGACCAAGTTTGCTGAGGTCAAAGCCACATCTTCCCCCTCAGTCGCTCTAACACGCTGAGTTCCAGGCACACCTAGGTGAGAAGCGTGGACACGGGGCACCACACTCACAGGAGGTCAGGGAGGGGCTACCCCGAGCGTCCAACACCTACCTGAACCAGCAGCTCCAGTCTCCTGTCATCCAGCAGGTGGACCTGGCAGTGCCTGCCCTCTGTCATCTGTAGGAACAACAAACATATAGCAAGAGATGTGTCAGAGCCTGGTCTGCCAGCAAGCCCCACACTCACTTTATCTACACAGGCAGCATGCTCCAGTGAGCTCGTCAGAGGCCAGCTTACTACAGACTTGCAGGTGTGGCCAATATGCAGCCTGCAGGCTGCAGGAGGCCAGGGACAGCTGTGAAAGTGGCCCAGCACAAAGTCACACTTACTTAAGGCATTATGAGCTGCATTCTTTTTTTTTTTTTTATTAAATAACTTGACCTACAGTTTTTGAATGTGAACTCTGGAGATGAGAATGCTGTGTCACAATGTCAAAAGGTTGAATATGCCTGCGAACACTCACATGGATTTAAAGTAAGAAAGAAGATGAAAAGCAAAGACTACTTAATGTATATAGGGAACGACAAAAACCTATGCCCGTATTAGCAGCCCAAATTCACATAGGACATGAGATCAACAAAGTATATGTTTCCTTGAGTCATGGCGACATTTTACAAATGGAAACAGCTTTCATCATGGCTGTGCTCTGGTGGATGTGATACTTACATAACTCAAGGAGTAAAGCCTGAGACTGAAGTTCAAATACAAAGGTCTCAACTTTTGAACCCTTTGCTCTTTTTTTTAAAATAGATTACCATTTATAGCTAGCAGTTAAGGTGCACAGTTGACAGTCTGACACAGCCATTTTCACTATGGAATTTTTTTTTTAATTGAAAATTGCAGTGCTGGGAAATACTGGTTTTAAAACGAAGACCCTTCCCTTGAAAAACTCACACTCCAAACCACCCCATCACTGATGTCACCGCCCTGTCCATTTGAGGGGCATCCTGAAGGCCACCTTCATGCTCACTTCTGACTGTGCATTTATAAATATACATCTTTTTTTTTTTTTTTTTTTCTTTTTTGGATAGGGTCTTGCTATATAGTCCTGGCTGGCTCCAAGCTTGAAACCTCCTGGCCTAAGCATGCTAGGCAGTGGATTACAGATGAAAGCCACTGTTCCAGGCTTATCCTTCTCCCCTTTGTGCAGTGCTGAGATTGAGCTCAGACAGAGCCTCCACACGTTAGGCGAATGTTCTACCAATGAGCAACAGTCCTAGCACCCAGCTTATACTTTTATATTATATGTCTTTCATTAATATTGTTATCTTAGCCAAGCGTATCCAAATGAAGCACTCACTATTTGTGTGTGTGTGTGTGTGTGTGTGTGTGAAACCACCCATCCATGTAACATATATGTGTGTCTGTGTATACACGCTTACATATACTTCCGATTCAAGGGTGGTTAAGGCTGTACTCACAGCTTTGCTTCCTGTGTTTTTCACTGTGGTACTTCTGGGAAATTTTCCCTGCAGGGCTTTATTTTTCATACATGTTCTGTGGCATGTGGCCATGCATTGCCGTACAATGCTGAGTCTCCTTCCGAGAGGCACCCAGGCTGTCTCCAGCATCATTCTGATAGGCACAACATCTCATTGAAGTCTGCGCACCTGTTTTTGGCCATGAACGTGGAATTGTTGGGTCACATTTGAAGAGCTTGGACACGTTCTCTTCCTTTCGGGTACCGTACAAAGCTCAGACATTTGCAAACCAATTAAAAAGAAACACTTGAGTTGGGTGTGATGGGGCACACCTGTAATCCTAGCACTTGGGAGGAGGAGGCAGGAGGATCAGGAGTTCAAGATCAGTCCCGGCTACAGAGTGACCTCAAGGCCATCCTGTCGAGTACTTAAAAAAACCTCAAAGTGATTAAACAAGTTCATAAAAGTTAAGGAAAGTGTGTTTGGTGACACGTGCTTGTGGTTCTAGCTACCCCTAGCTACGGAAGCAGATCACTAGGCTGTAGGCATTTACAGGCATATGAGACCACCCTGAGCAACAGTGAGACCCTATCTCAAAAGCACGATGGACTCCATTACTGATCACCAGCTGCATACACGCCTCACTCTAGGTATTTTTATATACATTATCTCTGAGCCGTAATGGTGCATTCTGGGTTCCTGTTGTCCATATTCAATACATGAGGCGATAGAGGATCAGGGTGGGGATAAGTAGTCTGTTTTCAATGCAAAAAATAAAATAATCTCTGTGTTCACAAGTTTTCATTTAAGTCTTGTTTTTCACATCTGTGAACTAGCTTAGCAGCTCGGACCACGGGGTGATAAACACATGGCCCAAAGAAACTGTGGAACTGTTGATAAGAGGGACGTGGACGAGCTTTGCTTAGTTCATGGCCACAGATTACATTCCTAACTAAGCAACGCCAAGGTCAAATACACACCTACACGGATAGCGATGGCAGTTCTGGTCACCGAGCTGGACAATGCATATGCAGCATGTGGTGGCTCAGAGGTGGGAATGCTTGCCTGGCATGCCTGAAGCCCTGGCCTTGCTAAACAGTACCACACACCCTGGGCATGGTGGCATCTGCCTGTGATCTCAGCACCAGGGAGACAGCAGCAGGAGAATCGGCAGTTCAAGGTCCTCCTTAATTCCTTAGGAGTTTGAGACAAGCCTGGGATGCACGAGGACCTCAGAGCAACGTCCTCATTTTATAGGCTAGGAAACTGACACTCAAACTTTAGGGTAATTTGTTCAAAATTACCTGGGTCAGTAAAAAAACCAAAATCAAAATGTAAATGAGGCGACTGGGCATAGCTCCGTGGCTGAGCACTTTGGCTACCTGTGCAAGGCCCCGAGCGATGAATGTTTGTAATGTTAACAATATTCAGGAGGCCGAAGCAGGGGCATTACCAGGAGTTCAAGGCCAGCCTGGGCTATATATTGAACTTGAGACCTTGTATCAAAAAACAGATTACGCTAAACTAAAGACACAACTTAACACAACAAAATAAAATCCCAGCAACAAATAAAAATGGAGGGGACAAACAAACAAACAAACAAACAACAACAACCCATCATTCATTTTCTAGTTATTCATATTGCAGGGTATTGTAAAGAAATGTGCTGGTTTAAATAATTTTACTTTTGTACCCATAAAAACTAACTTTGTCTCCTACAGAAAGTAAAACAATCCTTGAAAACACACAGTTTTAATTCCACTAGGAAAATACAATAACTCATACAATATTTCAAGTTATTAGGTTGCCTCATAATCCAAATACATCTATTTTTCTCTTTTAAATGTGTATCCACTGGCATATACCTATAATCCCAGCACTCAGGAGGCAGAAGCAGGTGGATCTCTGTGAGTCTGAAGCCAGCCTGGTCTACATATTGAGTTCTAGGACAGCCAGGACTGTGTAGAAAGACCCTGTCTCAAACAAACAAAAATCCCTAACCAAACAAAAAGATCCATTCACCTATGCCAATTTGTTTTGGCTCCTCCTCCAGCCAAATGAAATTCCTTTTCTCAACAGATAATTTTATTCTAGGTTTGTTGTTGTTGTTTGTTTGTTATTTGTATTATTAGTATGAGACAGGGTCTCCTGTGGTTCAGCTGGCTTCTGGTTCCTATGTAGCATGTAGTGAAGGATGAGATTGGATGATTCTTCCTGCCTCCAACTCCCAAGACCTGGATTACTACAGACTATTAAACAATGTTGAGGGTTTTGTCATTTTGATTTGACAAACTGTGCAGTAACATAAAACTTGTTCTCAGCTGATTGAACAGTTCATGGTCACCTGTCCAAAACTGGGGCAATCAGAACTTCAGTCCACTGAATCTAGAATTGGATTTGAAACCTTGGCTGCTGTGAGGTTCCTGCTGTGTGTGGAGAAAATCCTGCAGGAAGAATTAAGACGACAAGATGCTGAAGGAGGCACAAGAAATCAGGTGGGCTGAGGGAGAAAGCTTCCAGACAGTTGTCATGATTCTCTTGGTCTGTGTGAACTCGTGTCTTTGCATTCCAGAAAGTTCCTGAGAGTCTCGGAATGATCCACTGTTAATGCTTCTCTGTCTAGCTGACTTGCATTGAATTCTACTTCTTCAAATAAGACACACAGGCTGTGTGGGGGATGGGTAGGATGGGTTCGTCTTTGAAGGATCTGCCCGGTTCTGCATCCAATTTTACTGTCCCTAAAATTACAGGATCAGCTGTGCCCAGCTCTTTCCAGAGGTTCTGGGGAACCTCAGCTGAGTCCTCACATGTGCTAGGCAAGTGATTTACCAAGTGAGCCTTCTCTCCACTTTGTACACCACAGGTTTCAGCAATTAACCAAAGCAAATTGTTTCCAAAGGCCGCACTCCAAAAAGATGCCCCACGCCATCTGCTTGTCATCTCGGATGTGCCACAGAGAGCAAATAGCCCTCAGACAGACTGACAAGGGGAGAGGAGAGTAGCAGACACTTCCCTGCGTGGTGTGGTAAGAGATGATGAGGGCCGGGGGGGAGGGCAGAGGGTATTTGCCTAAACTCTGAGCATCCTGTTCAATAATCCCCAATCCTTCCCTCTGCAGGATGGTGCTTCAGTGGGGAGGTCATAGGGCTGATTTGATTGTCAGTAGGAACAGAAGGGCCTGCCCTTGTCACTTACTTGCACGGGAGGCTGAAGAGTGAGAGATGCATTTTGTTCATTAAAACAATGCTTATGAATAGATTGCAGCTGACAACCTCTGAAACGGAGAGGTCATGAAATACAAATTTCAAGGGAGAGCCTCTTTGACAAGGGAAAGGTTTGGGAACATGGGTTTTGGTTTCCTCCACGGCAGTATTTGGCAACACAGGACAGAACAGATCCATTGCTGGATGTGAGGTGTGGTTTCTGGTTCATCCCAAGTGGATGACCTGCAGGGAGTCATGTCAGGTGAGCAAACCTTGATCCAGTAAAGTTACATGGTACCAGAACAGATACAGTAGTACTGATGGAGGGCCTGCTGAGCACAGGGAAATCGTCCACAGGGATCGACCTGGATCATGAATGCAGACAGGTCAGCAAATGTCTATTAGTGATGCACACTACTGGAGAAGTCCATGACGGTGTTTCCAGGCACCGTTAGATCACAAGGACTCTGACACAATGAAATGGACGATTTCA